GCCTAAGGATAGACACAGGGATAAGTAAAACATATCTCAGAGGCCAGAAATGAATCATTCATCTATGGTCAATTGATTTTCAAAAGGATGCTCAGAGAATGTACTCTGAAAAAAAAAGTTCTCTCCAACCAATGGTGCTGGGCCAACTAGATATCCACACACAAAAGTATGAAGTTAGACTCTTACCACATACTATAAACAAAAATGGATGTAAAATGGATCAAAGATCTAAATTTTAGAGCTAAAACTATAAAGATCTTAGAAGAAAACAGGAAGGAAATCCCCATGATTTTTGAGCTTGGCAAGAGATTCTTCACATAGGATATCATAAGAAACACCCAAAAAAGGGGCAGGGATGATCATCAATTGGGCTTCTCAAAAGTTCCTATTTTTGTACACCCAAAGATACTATCAAGAAAGAAAATGCAACCCTAAGTACAACCGCATTTCCCAGAGGCCACTGAAGGAGATAAGAAATGCCTGGGACAGCCTAGCTCTAGCCATGGGTTCTCAGTAGGACTGTGACCACCATGGTGTAACCTCTTCTCCTTGTGTTCTCTTCTTACCACACAGGTAAGGACGGTCCTCGGTGACCCAAAGCAGCTTCTGAGCCTATCCACACCTTTGGATCAGACCTCCAAGCAGCTTCACCTCCATCCCTGCCCCATCACCCATGAGTGTCTGTGTTTGCAAGTTCTTTCTGCCAGCTTGTGCTGACTCAGACACCCTCCTTGTCCGCATCTCTGAAGAATCAAATAGACTCATTTTCGCCCTGAGAAATGACATCATTGTTGTTTTAAGAAATATGCATAATGGTGCCAGTAGAAGCCATGGAACCCTCGGTGGTATCTCCTGCGATTCAAGGCAGGGTCAAATACCACACCAGAGATCACAGTGCCCTGTCGTTTTCTGGATCCAAAGATGTTTTGACCAATGCATCTGTTCTGACGTCTCTGGAATCTCGTGTGCAAGGAAGTGACTCTTAGTGTCATATATGCCAAGATAGTACCAATGCTTACACAGTGCTTTAGATCCATAGGGAAGTGAGAGAAATTCTCCCTCCACTCTCTAGACCTGGTGGCATCCCCTGTCAAGAGGTTCCAGGAGTGACTTTTGTTGTCAGATCTTCCAAAAGATTATTTGTTGTCTGGGAATAAGATGATCTGAGAGTGCCATATCCCTTCCTTCAGTTATATCTTCAGAGTGATCCTTATTCACCCTGTGTTCATATTTTGGAAGGCAAACTAGCTTGTTCAGAGTTACAAATGACTCAGTGAAGGAGAGCCTGGCTGTCTCAGTGGTTAAAGCATGCAACTCTTGACCTTGGGTTCGTGAGTTCAAGCCCCACTTTAGGTACAGATGTGACTTAAAAATAAACTGTTGAGGGTCACCTGGGTGGCTCAGTTGGTTGAGCGTCCAACTCTTTGATTTCAGCTCAGGTCATGATCCCAGGGTGTTGGGATCGAGTCCTGTGTCAGACTCCACACTCACTTTCTCCCTTTTTCCTGTGATAGAGCTCTGCTGAACTCCTGAATTCCCTGGTGCTGGGCAGTGCCTTCCCAATGAGCAGATCTGAACAGATCCCTTAACAAGGAAGATAGACAAAATGACTATTACACATGCAAAGTGATTTCCAACTTCATATGTCATTGTGGTATTACAAATTGAACAAGGACGTACCAGAGGCCTCCCATGACCATGGCTAAAGTTCAATACAGTGCCAGCACCAATACTACCGAGGATGTGGGGCAGCAGGAACTCTCATTCACTGCTGGTGGGAGTGCGAAAAACCCCATCACTTGGGAAGATTCCTTGGCAGTGTCTTCCACGGCAAACAAAGCCTTAAGGATATAATGCAAAAAGAGCAGTCCTACGGATTACTCTATATGAGGTTCTTGTGTGCAACTAGAATATGCGCCTAAATGTTTGTTGCTGTCTTATTTATGATTGTCAAGACTCCAAAGTGATCAACGCACCCTTCAGAATGGATAAACAATATCTGTATGTCCACACATGCAATAGGATTCAGGAGAAAGAAATGAGTTATCAGGCCACAAAACACATGGATGAAACTTCCATGCATATGTGTTAGTGCCAGAATCCACCGTGAAGAGTCTGCAACAGTGAGTAGGGGGGATGAGGGGCAGGGACCCAGGCCCCAGCTCCAGGCCCTGGGTCACTGTGCATCCCGTGTCCACCAGACGGCACTGGTGCTCCCCCAATCCCTCAGCTGGCAGGTTCCCTCTCCTTGTGTCTAGCAGGTGCTCTTGATGATTTGCACAGTCAGGATTGCAAGTCTCCCAGAACACGGAGGTGAGGTCGCAAGATGGCCTTGCAGTGGTCCCTGCTGGATGCCCAGCCCTGCTCTGTCCCCCCACCTGCAGCACCCTCATCCGGGTTTGCTGTGTCTTGTCTCCCCTGCTCTGGAGGGACCCGGCATGCCCACATTACGTGTCCTCCTGTGTGAGTGTGTGTCCCCTAGGTGAGCTCCTGTCCACACCCGGCACCCAGAGCCAGCATGCATCGTCTGAGCTGTACCATTGGGACAGATGGTTTCTCTTCCCTCTCCCGTGTATCTTGTCCTCAGCTCCATAGTGGTTCACAGGTTGTACTGAGTCAGGACTGCATGTGTCCCTGTCATCAGACCCCATCCATGGAGGATGCCTGATGTAGAGCAGGACCTTTCTCTTTCCCTGGAGGGTCACTCTCAGGTGGTGGAAACACAGGCACCAGGGAAGCCTGCATTGGGAAAGGAGAGGTTCACCCAGACACCAGCAGGGGGCACGGTGACAAGGTCTGGGGCTTTCTACAGGAAGGGGGCTCCCTGCTGAGTAGCCCTCCAGAGTAGAAAGCCCCAGGGCTGGAACCCTTGTTTCCAGTGGGGACAGGGCAGGTGTCTTCTCTGTTCCTAGCGGAGTCCTTGAACCTGGGCCTGTATGTGGTTCCAGCAGCTGCTTCTTCCAGGCCCACCCAGGGGGAAAGTAGTGCATCACACAGTCTTCCTGTCAAGGGGCTGCAGACCTCTAAGTGCACAAGAGCCAGCAGCAGGGGTGGGTCCCATTTGCATGAGCAGCCCCTCCTTTTGAGCTCTGTGGACTGGGGATAAGAGAGGCCCAGGGCAGCCCAGCCCCGGCTCTGTGGTCTAGGAAGGGCGTGTGTCACCATGGCCTGGATCCCCGTCCTCGTCGTGCTCCTCTGCCACTGCACAGGTAGGGACAGGACCCAGTGTCCCAGGGTGGGCCTGCAGCCAGAGTGAAACCCCTGTGGCTCAGCTCCCTAATCCCATGTGCGCTGTTCCTTCTCTTCCCTCTGCCGTGTCTGTGTTTGCAGGTTCCCTGTCCCAGCCTGTCGTGACTCAGCCAGCCTCCCTCTCTGCATCCCTGGGAACAACAGCCAGACTCACCTGCACTCTGAGCAGGGACATCAATGTTGGAAACTATAACATATACTGGTTCCAGCAGATGGCAGGGAGCCCTCCCCGGTATCTCCTGTACTACTACTCAGACTCAGATAAGCACCAGGGCCCCGGGGTCCCCAGCCGCTTCTCTGGGTCCAAAGATGCCTCGGCCAATGCAGGGCTTCTGCTCATCTCTGGGCTGCAGCCTGAGGACGAGGCTGACTATTACTGTGCAATCTGGCCTAGTAGTGCTGGTCACAGTGACACAGACACATGGGGAAGTGGGACAATTACCCAGCCTGCTTAGACCACTGTAGTCTGAGTCTCTGAAATCTAATGTAAATTGAATGCACAATTACTATACTTGGGTGTAGCTACTGGATCTGAATGTCCTTCTTCCCAATTTCCTATCAAAGCTGTGTGAACTCTACGAAAAAAAGAAAAAAAAAAGAAAGAAAAATGACAACAACAATAAAGCAAACCAAAGACAACAAAAAAGTTATAATGATGCAGAAATTGCACCTAGTGGTTCACACGTAAAAATTAGAGCCTGTGGATTTGGGTTTTTTTCTCTTCACAAGGGTCCATCAACTTGCCTTAGTTTTCTGATCAGAGTCTACAGACCGTGCCCACGGCAGACAGTCCTCCACAGCATGGCCTGTGTTCCTCCAGGGGTGAGAGCAGAGGCCCTCCCTTCCCTCCAGGCTCCTGTGCTCAGGGCTGACTGAGTAGCTCTGTGTCCCAGCGAGGAGACACTAAGAATCACAGACCCAGAGCTGGCCTGGCCCACTGGCTGGGTACCTGCCCTTCATTTGTGATGTCGGGAGAGGGTGACTGTCCCTGGGAGAAACTGTGTGTGCCAGTCAGCAAACTTCTCCGTGGGGCTTGTGAGGGACAGGTGGGAGTGCCACCAGTGCAGCAAAATTTTTAGTCTGCTTGGGAGATTTCACCGACGTGACTTCTCTACAGCTGACACCATCAGGGCCCATGGGCAGCATGCGGCTGGTTTCTGGAGCCCAGAAGAATGGACTGTGTCTTCCTCTCCTCTCCTGCCGCATCGGGGTTGTCCGTGATCCATGCAGTAGAGGGGCTGCGGGGCACTATATTGCATAAAGGAAGTCGATCCCATGAGCCTTTCCAGGAGAACGTCTTGTCATTTGTGACAACATGGACGAACCTGCGGGACATGACCCTAAGAGAAATAAGGCCTACACAGAAAGGCAAATGCTTTTTTATCTCATTTATATGTGGAACCTACAGGAAAAAGGTAATAAAATCCCTGTCAATTTTTAGTGATGAGGATGAGTTAGAATAGGGTAACACATATAAAGATGGGAAAGAGGTTGGTGTGAGTGCAACTTCCTTAACGTAAGTTGGAGTTTCAGCTAGTAATTTTTAATTATGAAAATACACACAACAGGAAATTTACTCTTTTCATCACTTTCTTGTGCAATTCAGAGATATGAAATATATTCGCCATGTTGGGTGACCATCACGACTCTCCATTTCTCAAAGCTTTTTATCATCCCACACAGTAACTGTGCACCCAGGAAGGGAGTGGGTCAGCTGGGTGTACAGAGAAGCCAGGGCTCCAGGAGCTCATGCCAATGCAGGAAGCAGCAGAGGGCAGAGGGCAGCTCCCATGGGGGCTCTTTGCGGATGTGGCCTGACCCAGGTGGGAGCGTTCGTTAGGCTGTGCTTTTTACCGCGGAATGACCACGTGGGTGCACGCTGCAGCCCATGGCACGGGGATCCGTGTGCCCGCTGCAGGGGGTCCAGAAACTCCAGCTTTCTTTCCTAAAATGTGTCCGGGAACATCTGTGAGAACTGAGGTCCTCCTATGAGGCATCTGCTGTATGATTCATGCTTATTCTTGTCTGAATTCCCTGCAAAATCCATGTGTGCTCTCCTCCAGAGACTGAGGAAAGGCCTCATATTCAGTCTCCATTCTCTGTGCTTGTCAAGGGGAACTTGCACTTATTTCTGATCTTTTTATTTATATTATTTGGGTATTCTTAGGTTTTATTTATTTATTTTGAGAGAGAGAGAGAGAGAGAGAGAGAGAGAGAGAGAGAGGAAGGAGCAGAGAGAGAGGGAGTGAGAATCCCAAGTAGGTTCTGAACCCGGCTCAGGGCTCAATCACAGAAGTGGAGATCATGACCCGAACTGAAATCAAGAGTCTGACACCCAACCGACTGAGCCACCCTATTTCTGGCCTTTTGAATCTGTACCATTGATATATGTGTCTGTTTGGGGACCGATACCATACCAATTATAGGTAATGTAGAAAATGCAAAGTTTGATGGATGATAGAGAGATAGAATATACTCACGCGATCTATAGCCATGCACCGTCATTGATCTACCTCATCCAGTTCAGTGCAGAGGGTAATGGGGACTGGCCCGCCAGAACGGGAAGTGAGATGAGAAGACTGAACTGTCCCCCCAGGTCTCCCGAAAAAGGTTGTGGAGGGGCGTGCATGCTCTCCGCTTTTGTGCTCACTGGGCGGAAACATCCTCCGCCAGCGGTCAATGACTCTTGGCCCCAACAACACAAGTCTCTAAGTAGTGGGAGGAGCCCAGGGTGATTCATGCTGAGGAGGCCCTGTGTCTGCAGCAAGGACTGAGGTGTGGTGGCACCTGCAGAAGCCCTGAGGGAGAAGAAGATCTGGCCCTGTGTGGGGGTGGACAGTATGCCAGGCTGACTGAAGTCCTTAGTGCCCTGGTGTCTCTCTCACAGCTCCAGGATGTCCCTTCCAGGCATGGGTGCGGCTGGACACTGTGACAGCAGGGGGCGCTGTAGGCCTGTGCCTGAGTGGTGTCTGCGTGGGGAGGGGTCCCAGCTGAGAACCCAGGCCTGGAGCCCTGCCTTGTGCCCCCTGCAAAATTGTGCCTAGAGGAGTTTCCCTAGTCCCACCCACCCCACACTCAGCTGTCACCACATTCAGTCCCAGGGGAGGGAGAGATTTGCATGAAGGCTTCCTCTCTCTCTTCCAGGAAGGGAGAGGATAAGAGCGGCTTTGTGCAGGTCTCTCCCTTGAGGGCTCAGGACCACAGCCTGGGGTATCTCCACCCTGGCCTGGACCCCTCCCCTCCTCACCTTCCTTGCTCTCTGCTCAGGTTACTGGCTGTGGAAAGCGGAAGAATTGCTTTCGGGGGACCCCTAAGTTGCCTGTTTCCCCCATTTTGAGAACACACTGTGAGTAATAACCTGATACTGACCCGTGTCTCCACTGCTCTGTTGCTGGGTCCTGGGCGCTGTCTGTGTTGACACAGGAAGCCTCTTTATCAGGGTCTGTGGGCTAGAAGGTCACCCTCAGCTGCACTGGAATCAGCAACAATGTTGGGTCGTATTAGGTGGGCTGGTACCCACAGATTCCCCACCGTGTCCCCAAAGCTGAGATGCTCAGAAGCACTAGGCCCTCCGGGATCCCAGCTGGGTTCTTGAAAACAGGGCCCCTCTGATCATCTCGGGCCTGCGGCCTGAGGACGAGGCTGGTCATTACTGACACAGTGCTCTAAGCCCGTGGGCAAATGATACAGCAACGTGCCCCAGTTTCCCATGGTCACTGCCAGTGACAAATAAACAGGGAGACCGTGGACACCCCGGAGGGTCTGAGGGTCTGACTCTCTGAGCACAGAACAACTATGAAGAGTCAGTGACAGTAGCTTCGTCTCATGTTGTTTTCTTCTAAAAATAAGACAAATCTCTTCAGATAATTTACAGGCATAAAGTGCAGTCATTTAAATGGTACGATTCAGTGGTCTGTAGTATGTTTCCTGAGTTTGGCAAACATCATCAGGATCAAATTGACGACATTTCCATCACCTGCAGAAAAACCCCTGACCCCCGAGCAGTGAGCCCATGGCCCCCCTGCATCAGCCCTTTGGAGCCAAAAATTCCTTTCTGTGTGCAGTGATTTTCCTGTTGTGCACATTTCACAGGTGCCGAATCACAGACCACGTGCCCCCGGAAGCGCACCTTTCAGTGGCATCAGCGTGTGCATTGTTGTAGGAACATCACAGGCAGTATATTTAAATACAGGGAACGTTTCATCCTTTCATCTAGAGACGTGCTCATCTTGTGCAGAGGACACGTGGATCTATCTAGATGGCTGCAATTTTAATAGAGGCTGTCCAAATAACATAATTATTTTCCATGATGGTGTGTAATCACAGATTCTTCTTTAAAAGTTTATTTTCCAATGAATATTGTCCCCTATTGTCATTTTTTATTTTGTAGATTTCTGCATATTGCAATTTTGTTCAATAATTTAGCCGGTGTTGTTTATTATTATGAAAAATAATATTATGTGTTACGGTCCATATTTCAAGTTTTTGTCTCATACATTTTTCCTTTCCTTGTGGTGGGGTGTGGGCTCTGTGGCCTTTCTCTTTTTCCCATTCCCTCATGCCCGGCAGACTCTACCTGTCTCCTCCCCACTCTTTTTCCTTAGTGAGATGTTTCCAGAGCGTCCTTCCTGATTTGGGTTTCTCACCCATCTGCCCACAGCACTGCATCTGAGACCTCCCGTTTCACTATTGCTCGCCCTGGATGTCCGTCCTGTGGTCAGGGCTTGGGTCTCTCCACTTGCTGTCCTGTGTCTTCACTCTCAGGGGCTTTTTCGAGTGATGGTGGTTCAGACCCACGGCTAGCTTTCCCCTTCTGTCACCCCAGCCTTTTCGGGAACTGACTTCTCTTTCCACTGATGCTCATGATTTGTGGTGTGAGCCTGGGCGCGAGGCCACCAGGGATTCTTAACAACAGATACCTTTAAAATTATTTCATTTTTTTCTAACTTACTTTGATATAAAGGGTGAAAAGGAGCAGACAAAGATAATTTTAAGAAAACTGTTACTTAATATTTTCTGAAATTTCTTATTAATAGACTTAAATGTCACTAAAACCACAGGTAGAGAATAGAGAGAAGAAGGCAGGTTTCCAAGTTAAGGGATGAAATATATTACTTAGAAGTGATGGAGCTACTTTGAGTTCTCTCCTTGGTGAGGTACAGGCAGAGGCTTCAGCAGATGCTGTCACACAAAGGAAACTTTATTTGCCATAGATAAGGGGATCAGGGACAAGAATTATCAAAGCTGTGACTCCCTGAGTGCAGGCGAGTGGGTTCCTTTCATCCAGGGTTAGGATGGATACCCAGAAAAGGGAGTTTTGTCATCTTATGCAAGAGTGGGCATGAGGTTGTGCAGGAATATGGAGCACAGGAGCTTGTGTCCCCATCATGTGGTAGGTCAATGAAGCTTGTCCTCCTCCTAGGGCAGAGACTTAACGTTATAAAGAGGCAGAGGT